GTGGATTGCCTGAGCCCGCGGGTCCGAGACCCGCCTGGGCAACTTGGCGAGACCTCGTCTGTACAATAAATCAAAAGCTAGCTGGGCGTGGTAGCGCACGCCTGTAGTTCCAGCTACTTGGAAGGCTGAGGCGGAAGGATCGCCGGAGCCCAGCAGGTCTGGGCGACAGAGTGAGACTCCAACTCAAAAAAAAAAAAAATCAATAGTTCAGACAGACAAAAATTGTATTTTTACGTTATATATACTCAAAATAAAGTGTATTTCAATGAATGAGTTCCAGCAGCGATGTGGATGAATCCATTTTCTCCTAGCCCTCTGCCTCTTGTTTTGATCTATCATGAGAAAAATTGACTGGTCTAGTTCTATGGATACACTACCAGTCAGTGAGGCTGGGTAGGGTACAGTACAAATTTGTGGGCTTTTTGACTCCACCCTGAAATGAATTTCAGAGTGACCAAAATAGTTTTTAAACAGCATAGTTTTCTCACAAATTAGTGAGAAGAAGAGAGGGAAAGCGGAAGATTCATGACAGAAACAGCTGGCATGGCTAAGTCTCTCAAAAAGAGAGTACTTTTGCTTTTTACAAAAAGTAGATATGGCTACCTAGTTATTGATATACTAATGAGGGCGAGGCACAGGTAACTGCCAGGAAATATTATCATCTCTCCACCTCTGATGGGATTATAGGTGGTCTTTTTCTGTCTTTATAAGAGATTGCCAATCTTTCAATACACAAGTTCATGAACTAAAAGGTTGTCTTATGATGGTTTCTTTCTTTCTTTCTTTCTTTTTTGAGTTGGAGTCTCACCCTGTCACCCAGACTGGAGTGCAGTGGCCACTCCCGGCCACCGCAGCCTCGACTTGCTGGGCTCCAGCGATCCTTCCTCCTCAGCCTTCCAAGTAGCCGGAATTACAGGCATGCGCTACCACGCCCAGCTGATTTTTTGATTTATTGTAGAGATGAGGTCTCCCCGCCCAGGCGGTCTCGAACCCGCGGGATCAGGCAATCCACTCACCTCAGCCTCCCAAAGGCACGGGATTACGGGCTGAGTCACCGAGCCTGGCTTCTTTTTTTTTTTTTTTTTTTGAGTTGGAGTCTCACTCCATCGCCCAGGCGGGAGTACAGTAGCACACTCATGGGCACCCTAGTGTTGACCTGCTGGGCTGAGGCTATCCTTCTGCCTCAGCCTTCCAAGTAGCTGAAACTACAGGTGTGTGCTACCATGCCCAGCTAATTTTTTTTTTTTTTATTGTAAAGATGAGGTCCCCACAGGTTGCCCAGGCTAGCCTGTTCTCAAACCGTGGCCTCAGGCAATCTGCTCACCTCGGCCTTACAAAGTGCTGGGATTACACGTTTGAGCCACCATGCCCGGCCCTTATGATCATTTCTATGGCTTTGATTCTGGGTCCAGGAAACTCCATGATAGAGTTTTCCTTTGGTGAGCTGAAGGGGTGGGCTGACTGGGAGTCTGCACTGAATTCACATTTCAGCCTGCTAACAAGATGTCTGGATGCTTTCTTATTAAAAACTAAAGGCTGTCTATAAGAAATGTATCTTTCTATGCCTAACCTATACTCTGCTTCAATAGGACCCCAGAAGAGGATTTCAACACCTCCCATGACATCATCAATCAGCAGCCCTGTCCCTCTTACCACCAAGTTCCCTTTATTTATTTTATTTTTATTTTTATTTTTTAGTTGGAGTCTCACTCTGTTGCCCAGACTGGAGTGCAGTGGCACACTCCCGGCCACCACAGCCTCGACCTGCTGGGCTCTGGTGATCCTTCCGTCTCATCCTTCCAAGTAGCCGGAATTACAGGCGTGCTCTACCACACCCAGCTAATTTTTTTATTTATTGTAGAGACAGGGTCTCGCCAAGTTGCC